TCTCTCTCTCTCTCTCTCTCTCTCTCTCTCTCTCTCTCTCTCTCTCTTTGGCTACTAAATAGCTGTCTTTTCGGCTGCTATTCCTACGCATTTACACGCATTGATTTCGCTGATAGCGAGTTAGGGGTGGTTTGGGTAAGGCCAAACGATAATATTATTCGTTTTTGCGCATTCCTTTCTATTTTTATTATCATTATGTGTGTTTATGGGCCGACAATAATATGTCACTGGATGGTCATAATAATTGCGTGTTCGTGTCGGTTTATGTGCGCTTCGAGTTTTTGGTTTGCTTCATTTTTATACAGTATTTCTTTTACTCGATGTCATAAATTCATCGGGCAGTGGGTTTCTGCATGTGCTTCTTTTTATATCTTCTCAGCAACACGATTTCGTATTGGGCTATGATGAATTGTTGACAATTTATCAGTGTTTTGAGTATACGATGAAAAAGCCAGAGATGAACCAACTCACTTGGCCTGTGTGTTCAGTCAATGTGCACAAAGAGACCATTTTTTTTCTACTCGATGTAACAATGACGACATAAAAAATCGAAAATATCTCAAACAATGAATAAAGGCCCATCGGTTCCGAATGCACGTTCCACGCACCAGAAAACCAAATGCATACGGAAGGATACGTATACACGAAATAATCGTTATGTGTAATGTCTTCTTTTTTGTCCGTCTTTCTGGCTTACAAAAAGCACACATTAATGCCCGAAATGTGCGTGCCAATTTATAAAAAGAAGACACATGGCACACATTTTCCATCGATGGATTACCGAATGAATGTGAGTCAAGTGAGTCACCAGAGACCAATGCTAAAATTGAAGACGTTTGCACCATTTTTTCCCGGTCGGCTGGTTTTTTTTCTCTCTTTCTCTCTCTCTCGTCGTTGTCGTTGTCGTTGTCGTCATCAGTCGACTTTTATTACTTACCGAATATTTTCCTGGCACATAAATCGGTTGACTATGACTATTTGGCAAGCTTCCTTGTGATGAACTGCCCCGATGACCCTGATGGCACATGCCCGAACGATGCTGTGGACTTTGTTCAGCCCAAGCTGCTTGTCGTGCATTTTCCAGCCCACTTAATACTTCATTGAATGGAGCATCCAATAATTCGACATAAACCGTTGCTAAACCCTCCAGATGCCCTCGTTGACCATCCTACATGAGAAATAGAGAACGAAAAAAAAATGGACGAATTTAGTAAAAAACGTTTCGTATTCAGAATTTTCATTCTAATGAGCTTAAAATCTTCTGCGGTTTTTCGTTGCACAGTTATTATGGATGTGAGACGGATAGAGGGAATAGGAGAGTAATTCATGCGTTTGCAAAAGCAAACGCAGCACAGTTCTTGTTCATACAGCATTATTCGAATGTTGGCCAAAGTTTTTCGGTTTTCTTCGTTTCACCCTTTTTCTCACTCGGCCTCACCAGTCAGTTACTTATACGATATTTATTCACTTTGTTAAAGTTAAAGTTGCCAAGAGCAAGCGGCGGCCATCCGAAAACATTTTGAAAATGGGAAAGACAGAGAGAGGGAGAGAAAGAGTTTTGTTGAGGTGACTCACTTTTGTTTCTAAAGTCCAATGTTTCTTCCATAAACTTTAGTCAAAAATTATTGTATTTAAAATAAGCAAAACTTTCTTCCAACAATTCGGATGGGGAATGCGAAAAATGCGTTCTACCAAATAGCCCGAGATGATATGTGTGTGTGTGTGTGTTTCTGCGCAGATGGCGAATCTTCCAGACGATATTCTCCACACAAATAAAATTAACTGAAAATTACAATTTATAGACTTTGAAAAATATTTGCATAATTTTATTCGGTTTGACTTGCCGCCAAACTGTGTATGTGCGCGTGTGTTTTCCCTTAATTCTTGCCTACAATGTTGTAGTTTCATATCGATTGCGAGCAAGTGCCATTTCGTTTGTGATATAGGCACTTTTAATCACAGCCACAACAACAGTAAGAGAGAAAGAATGAACAAATTTTACAGCCCAATAAAATTACTTTCGAGAAAAACGATCAAAGTTGTAATGGTTTTTGGCGGTGAGACCTCTTCGCAGTTTGATGCACAGAAACCTTTTGCGTAATTTTCTCTTTCCGAAAAACCGAAGCGACAAAATTCCAAATGGAAATGGTTGTAAAGCGATAAAGCGAAATCGCTATAAAGACCAAAAACTCGCGATACTACATTATCTCTGCAGCAATATCAACGTCAAAACGGACAACCATTTCGCATCGTTTTCTTTTCAAACTTGTGTCATTTACACACAACGGATAGCAGAACATTTAACACTTTTGAATAACAGTCAGAAAACTAAAACGCCGCCAGCCGATTTCGGTCTGAAAGAAATTATTTAGAATGAGTTTTCACTTGAGCGATGAATTTTAAAGCACGAAACATTTTAGCTACATGAATATAGCTAAGCAAAACAATAAACGTTAAAATAAATTAAAGTGAATCGCATCATTGGCTGTTATCATGGTTCTTGGGCCGAACGAGAGCAATTCCACTCTCTCTCTCTCTCTCTCTCTCTCTCTCGATATTTCTACCGTTTAAATCCGTCTTTTATCGCGCCGTTTCCTTCATCAGATCGGTAAACTCTGATTTCTTCGGTTTGTCGGTATGCATCATTTTGCACGAAAAGAAATCCTGTTTTTCTTTAACAAAGTCGCGAGCAAACCAAAAACTTTGCAGCGCCTTCAACACGGAGACAACGAGAAGCGAAGAGAGAGAGAAAAAAAACTTTATCAGATCAACATTACCATTTGGTGTGTAAAGCCTATTGCGATCAATGCACACAGACGTGAACTTTTGCCATCTTCAATCCAACCGTATTGCCCGTTAAATCTGCTTAACAGCATAGAAAATGGCATCTCATTGGTATAGGTTTGTCTAACACGCCATCATCTCAACAAAAGCAACAGAAGCGAGCGAACGAAGTGAGAGCAAAGGAGAAAGAGAAAGAAAATCGAAACGACAAAAGGAAAAAGATAAACAAAAATACACGAAAATAACGTGTATTTTCTCCGGCTCGTGCATTGAATGTTGTAAAAACAAGCCAAAGCCAAAGATAAACACAAAGAGGAAAGACAAGCATTGAAAATGAGCATGAAAGTTCCAACGATTTTGCCATATTCCAAAACAAACAAAACTCTCTCGCTCACACGTTGAACTGACTCAGCGCACCGCCATTGCCGCCACAATGAAGAAGACATTTGCCATAGATTTGCGATTCAGCGACAAAGAGAAAAATGGAATCGTCACCCATTCATTCGACGCAAAAACGAAAAAAAAACGAAAAAAAACGAGATACGAAAATCCACAATAAAACCGAATGCGAATTGGCTCCAGTGGTTGTTGAGAACAACGTACACATACACACAATTTCGGGAACAAACCAAGAGGAAAAACGACGGAAACAGGAAAATGAATGGCAGCATTATGATTCGAGGTCACAGCAGCGCGCAGCACAAGAAAACTCCAAGATAGACGAGAGCAAAGCATTAATCGAAACCGAGAAAAAAGCTCGTGTCATCCGATTTCGCTCGATTTATATTCGCCATCGTATGATCTGATTCACATTCAAAAGATCTACACAGATTGTGTGAGCCACCAAGCGTGTGGCTTGCATTAAAAGCGTTCTTATTTATTGGCGCGTGTTTATTTTCTAAATCTGTGTATTTATTGTTTCGCCGCGGCGAAATCGAAGTGCGACGCATTTTAAAGCAGAAAATCGCACGGAATAAGGTTCGACGCTGTGTGACGAAAATAATGGATTGAATTTAAATGATTTTCTAACATTAAGAGCGGAAAATTGAAAATTGACCTCTCGCGCTTTTCAGCACATTTATTGGCTTGACTTCATTAGCAAGTCGACGAAGTGAATGGGAATGGTGGCCATTTCCTTATCCGCACGGCAAACACTCTCTGAATGACTTATTTTTTTTCATTTCATTTTATTCTGTACAGTATAATTGTAACTGTGTCCATGAACCAAATGCCATGTAATCAAAATAATTGTTGCTTTCAGCTTCTGTTTCGGCGTACACGTGCGCTGTGCTCATGTTATTATTAATTCTTGGAACAAGACGCGCTTCCGTTTGCTATACGTGATAAAAAATGCCGTGAACATCTGTTTGCACAGTAAAGAGCACTTTGAGCTGTTCAATAAATTCATCGACATTCGCCTTTGGTTCAATAATTCGGCTCCACTTTAAGTGTCCAAGTAAGAACGGGAAGCATAAAGATGGGCCAATTTATGGTCAGTGACAGCTGTCACACCGAATATAAAACGGCAAAGTGTCCTTCAATTCTCTTATGATTCAACACTAAATGGTAATGCCAAAAACGCTGAAATTTATTCCCGATCACTAATAGCGCCATTCACTGTAGTGAATATAAAATAATTTCCCAAAATGAAATCAATAACGAACAGCGCAACTGGAATTCCCTTCTCTAAACATATTACATGCTGGATCGGAACAATGTGCCGATATGCAATTGTCCTGAGGTGAAAAACCCATTTTCCAATTTGTTCACCCCGGATTTACTATTTTTAATTGTGTTTAGCAAATACATTATGGATTATGCCGCAAAACAATGCTGCTGGAGCAGCGGTAGCGGCCACGGTGGCATGGTGTTTTGGTCAAACCATCGAAGCTCATTGTCGATGGTAAAATATGGCAATTTTATTGAATAATCGTTGGCCTTAATTACCATATCTGATTTATATCTGTAATGATTCCTCCTACCATCCTGGATTAACAGCACAGCACGAAATGAACACAAAAAAGGCCAGTGATAATGCGCAAAATAATTATGCGAGTCATTGCACTAAATTTATTGAATACACGAGCTTTTTCCACATACTCATCCGACAATATTTACTTGGTAAATGGCAACAAATCCGGCATAATCAAATCTTTGTGTGTGTGTGTGTGTGTGTGTGTGTGTGTGTGTGTGTGCAATGCATTTTCAGTACACACGCCAACAATGCGGCGTATTTGCTCGCTCGTTTTTGTTTTAAACATTTACAGCACTAATGTTTATTTTGTGTGTGAATAATTATAGATTCCGTGATTTTTGTTCAATTTTGTTGGCCACAAATTCCAATTTGATGCATGGATTGGTTTTATTTTTTCTGTGATTGAATTCAATTGTGTCTGTTTGTTCATGCATTTCGAACATGTGTTTATTTGATTTCATTAGCCGGTTAATTAAATATTAAAATTTCACTCCGTTTTCCAAGAAGATATTTTGTTCTGCATCTTTAATGCGAAATGAAAAATGTTCGTGATCTTATTCGGATTGCATCGCAGGTGTACGAGCGTGATATATTATCTCTTCCAAAGAAAATGGCGTACCATTTTTAATTGTAACCTCAGAAAAAAATAAATTTATATAGTTTCTCTCTCTCTCTCTCTCTCTCTCTCTCTCTCTCTCTCTCTCGACGAGCGTAAATTTCAGAGCTTTTGGGAAATAATTTTGTGATTTGCCGGAAGAACGGTAACAAATGCAATATTGTAAGCGTAGCGAAGAGGTTTGAACCCGAGTGAATTATACTGCTCGTGGAAAAGTGGGAGCATTTTTTTAAAGTGTGTTTTTCATTTTGTTCGTTTCTTCTTGAGAATTTCTCTCCACTAAACGTCGCTCTCAAGCTTACAAACTCTCTCTTTTTCACTCTTTAAACAAAGTTGCTGACTCCAGCGGCTGTTATTTTTGCTAGATTTTTTTTCACGTTTCCTCGATACGGGGGAGCATGAAATGGAGCGCTGCTCGTTAAAATAAATCATTAAGTTGGGTTTTTATGCCAAATTCATGTCGCATTCATTGTAGTTGCAAACAACGTTGCAGCAGCAGTAGCAGCAGCAGCAGCATAAAAAAGCAGCCACGAAAAGAAGAAACGACATCCCAGAAGAAGCTGACAAAGAAATGGTGCGCACACACACACACACAATGTAATCACGTGGCTTTAATGGCACGAATATTCTTTATACCTTGAGCAAATGCCAAACAAACTTAAGTCTTATATCACCGTACTGCCTCAATACATATATTTCCTAGTGACCCAGAAATACTAAAATTAATACAAAGGCACGTCACACTCACACCCTCTGCGCGCACATAGCCATCAAACAGCATCGGCGGCGCATC